TCCTCAGCTTCAATGGTATCTATCGCTTTACCGATTAGATCCAATACATCCAAAGCTTTCGCCCGATCCTAAATATATTCCTAATAAAAAATATGCAACTCATGCACCAGTATCATAAAAAGCAGCAATTTTTACGTAAGCATCCGTTGAGGCGAGCCATTCTTGTAGCTGTGCAAGATAATGCTCAACAGCGTTCATCTGAGGTCTCGCCTTCTTCAAAGCGTTCAACTGACGTTTCAACTCCATCTTTTCATAAGTCTCTTGCAACTCCTTCTCAGCCCCGTGAGACGTCCACTGGCTGAGATTTTTCTAAAAACACGACCATCCTATTTCCAAACGAAATAAGTTTCAAGGTTACGAGTGTTTTTCAGCAAATTCCAAGCCGGCGACCCAAGCAAGGTAAGTTGTTGCGCATGAAATGTGCTCATTAAGTAGTGGAACAAAAGAAAAAATTGCGATGCGCCTGCCCAGCATTTGTTATTGCACAACAACTTTCCTGCGCATTCTCAATTGACCTGTTCCTTTCACTAATAGCCCCTTGTCTTACGAACCTCGATTGCCTGAATTCTTTCCGTGGCCTCGTTAACGTTTGTCACCTTTCTAATTATTTGGGAAGTTGATGGCATTAGTTCGACTACTAGCCGGTAGCTGGTAGCAAACTGAAAATAGAGCCTTTAGAAAAAACACTAATTATGCGCTCCTCGACAGAACATTCTATTTGCAACCACACACAGAAATTTCGAATTCCAAATTCTTATTTTTGACTCTGCACCGCTCAGAACATCTCAAAGCATTTGCTAGAAGTCTGATTAAGTGCTTTCTGATCGGTTTCTCGAATCCTGCAGTAATTTGACAACAAAAGCTGTTGCTTCTGTCATGAACTACTTGTTTTTCGATTGCATGGCAACAGCTGTTAACGATTGACGATATCCTCGAATTACGAAAACTGGAGATTTAAAGCACTTAAAAAATAGTAACAGCTATCAAACACATGAGAAGCATGACTTCGACAACATGGGACTCTGATATGTATACTTCAGTGGATCACTCCGGTATGGCCCTCTAAAACTGCGACAGCGCAACTCACGTATATTTACCTCCCTAG